CATTCGCTTGTTTAACATTGAGCCATTTCCAGTTTTTGTGTAAATTTTGTCTCTTAGCTGATTTTATTAAATCTTAGAAAGCCCAGGATAATCTAGATTGAACATGACTAGCAACTCAGCTCCAGTTCCATATTTGATGGAATAAGATAATGAGGATGATAATAATGATGACGATGACATAATAATAATGATCAACATTTATTGAGCTTTTGCTTTGTGCCAGGCACTGTTCTATAGATATTACATGCCTTAACTCATTGAATCCTCCTAACAATATATGAGACAGATGTTATCATTCTTCTCATTTTACATCTTGGTGATAAAGCAGAAACATAACCACCCAAGGTCACTCGAAGGAGGTGGAAGAGGCAGAATTCAGGCTGAGGAGGTCTGTCTCCAGGATGCTTTTCCTCCCCACTGCGTCGGCCACCTCTGGAGTGAATAGCCAGACCCTGAGCTAAGTCCATTAGACACATTGCACCACTGACTTCGTCATACAACCACCTTAAGAGAGAGGTGCCATTACATTGCACAGATGAGGAGGCAGGCTGGGAGAGGTTAAGGCATTCATCCGAGGGCATGGAGCTGCAGAGAGCTTGAGCCAGGAGTTAATCCCAGAGTGCCCGTGTACACAGCCCAGCTTTATAACCTTTATTCTCAACTGGTCCACTAGGGGAGACCTAGTTTTCATCTCCTAAGTCCCATTTCCTTATTTGTTGGTTGTAAATTTTTTAAGTACAGAAAAGTATAAAAACAAAAACCAACACCAACTACAGGCAAACAATGATAACATTTTTATATATTTTATCTAGATTTTTTTCCTTCACATATCTTTATGAAGTCATATTGTACATATAATTTTGTATCCTATGCTTTCTATTTTGTATAGAACAATATAAGCATTCTTCTATGTTAATAAAAGATTTCCTATACATTTTTTAATTGTAGTAAAAAACACATAACAGAATGCTTGAGGTCAGGAGCTCGAGACCAGCCTGAGCAAGAGCGAGATACCATCTCTACAAAAAATAGAAAAAATTAGCTGGGAGCAGTGGCACAAGCCTGTAGTCCCAGCCACTAGGGAGGCTGAGGCAGGAGGATCACTTGAGCCCAGGAGTATGAGGTTGCAGTGAGCTGTGATGACATCACTGTACTCCAGCCCAGCAACAGAGCAAGACTCTGTCTCCAAAAACAAACAAAAAAAGATGCATAACATAAAACTTACCATCTTAACCCTATACATTATTTTAGGTTGTAAAATGTGTCATTAAATGAGCACAACACATTTCTCCATTGTTAGAAATTTGGAGTGTTTCCAATTTTTCACTGTTGCCAATGACCTTGCAATTAACATACTTGTAAATAAATATTTGTCCTCATTTCAACTTATTTCCTTGGGACAGATTTCTAAAAGTGGAATTGCCAGGTAAAACCGAATGAATACTTTGAAACTCTCCATATATAGTGCCTATTACTTTGCCCTTATTATCACCATATAAAATGCTCATTCCATTGCAGCCTTACAAGTATAGCAAGCTGATAAAATAGAATTATGTTGGTCTAAATTTTGGTGGCGGTGCCTGAGTGTGAGGTATGAGACTATATAACTGGTTTTGCAACCTTTGCTGACCACTCATCTCTAGCCAATAAAAGGCACTGAGAGGAGTTAAAAATGAGAAGAGGATTTTAGAGAGAAGTTTTTGTGTATTATGAGTTCCATTTACTCTCGAGAAGGACGGGAGTGGGGTGGGAGGTGTGCTCCCTCTTACCTCAGTTATAGGCAAAAGGGCTTCGCCAGAACCACTTGGAAAGCTTGCTACGTGAACTCTGTAGTTTGGGCCACGTGTTGGTCCAATCTTTAATTCACACCTGGAAATCTAAAGGTCTTGGCTAGCTACTCTAGGGTACATTTTACAAATAATGAAATCTAGGCTTAGGGAGTTTAAGTAATTTGTCCAAGGTCATCCACAAATAAGTGTAAGAACTAGAATTGAAACCCAGATCTTCTGATTCAGAGGTTGCATTGGTCCCCCCCCCATTCTGTAACACTTCCTCTCTTTTATTTGTGAAGTAAATCGTTTTTATTTTCGTTACTATATATTTAGCCATACTTTTGCCTGAATTCTTCATCTCCCAACTTGGAATTGCTTGGCAGGAGATTCCACCAATACAATTTCATCCTCCTACCAGCTTCCTTAAAACCACTTGTGAGATCAGCTATTTATATATAAGATTGATCTAACTTCCCTACTCAAAATCTTGAGTTTGTTAGATAACTCTAAGTGACATTATGCCTCCCTTCGGGGATGTTTTTTTTCAGACCTACAAGGTGTTATGAGTTAAATCGTGTCCCCCAAAGTTCATATGTTGAAATACAGAACCCCAGTACTTCAGAATGTGACCTTCTTTGGAAATAAAGTTGCTGTAGATGTAATTATCAAGATGAGGTCATTAGAGTGGGCCCTAATCCAATATGATCAGTGTCATTATATAAAAGGGGAATTTGGACACAGAGACAGGCATAGAGGGAAGACAGAGAGAGAGAAGACAGCATCTACAAGTCAAGAGAAGAGGCTGGGAACGGATCCTTCCCTCTCTCTTCTCAAAAGAAGCCAACACTGCCAACACCTTGATTTTGGACTTCTAGCTCCAGAACTATGAGAAAATAAATTTCAGTTGTTCAGATCACCCAGTTTGTGGTACTTTGTTACAGTAGTCCTTGAAAACTAATACACAACTGCTTCATGAGCAGTTGAAACTTGGTTGTGAAATCATGAAGTTCAATATAGGAAGTGCAATCACCCTAGAAAAAAAAGGGAAAATCCAGTTCTAATAGCTGGTGTAACTTGATTATAGAACAAGAGTTTTCATACTTTTTTTAGCATACATTTCATGGTTTGAATTTGCTTTCCGCTATCATGCTTTGTAGAAGTTTTATTGATGACTTTCCCATATCCTCAAGCTCTAACTCCATAGTTCGACTTTCAAGATCCTTAACAATATGTTCTTAGTATAACTTTCCATATTCATATCCTACTGTCATTTTTCATAAACATCATGGTACAGTCAAACTGGGGCACCAGTCTCAGAATAGGCCTGGGTATTCCCGCCTCTGCTCTCATCTTTTCTCTGTTTAGAATGGTTTTCCCATTCTTCATCTGTACATGTTGAAAATCTGATGTTAAAATCCTCCTTCAGGAACTAATGGAAAAACCATCATTTCTAAAAATACTTTTTTTCCCACTCTGAAATTCCATTGTATATTTTTGTTTCATTGATTTTTATTTTAGTTATTTAGATACATGTAACATCCTCTGATTGGCTGTAAACTCCGTAGGGCAAGAAGCTAATAGTATACATATATGTTATTTGGGTCCCCTCCCCACTCCAAAAAATGTAGAGAATGAGACAGGTGTGTGCAGGTCATTGGTTTGGAGAAGTAATCTCAGGGCTCAAGAGTGAGGAGAATGAGAAGAGCAAAACAAGGAAGAATGTAAAGCCAATCCAAGAGTGAGTTATTGACCTGATTACCCCGTGGGTAAGTAAAGCTCAGTGCCATTGGGGACTTCTTGAGAAACGATGTAGGATATGCCTCATTTTTTTTGTTGTTGTTTTTACCCAAGAATAGAAGAGAAGAATATTTATCTAATGGCTCCCATCACAAAGTGGTCAAAGATCACCTCATAGGATATCCTTGGCACTTCCAGGTCTGTGCATGTATCAGAATGGTTGGACAGGTGTCTGTAAGCATCCCATGCAGTGCTATTCGTGAAGTCGTGGGGCATAAAGTCAAAGTTAAACAGTGCAATTATGACAAGGTGCTTGTCAGGCTACACCTGCCCAGAGCTGGCTACCAGAGTAGAAAGGGAGACTGAGAAGGTGTTTGATGGGTATGAAAAACATCTGATATAGTCCACTCCTTGCACTGCCCCACTCCACTCATCCTCTATTTTAATAGTTCCCCAAAGAGAGGGATGCTGTGTGCTACATATCAACTATATTCTTCCTTCCGATCAAAAGAGCAAAGGCTCCTGTGTGTGTTAGTTCAGACAACTAGAATCTCAGCAAGATCTCCAGCCACAGAAAACTGGACTCCAAATTTCCATTTTGATTGAGGTAGAAAACACTCTTGCTTTAGGTTCCCTGGAAGCAGGCTCTGAGACAAGTATTCAACTGCAAGTAGTTTATTTCAGAAGTGATCCCAGTAAACACCCATAGAGGAATGAATAAATGACAAAAAAATAGGAAGGAACCCAACAGAGAATACTGTATTTATCAAGCCATTTCTATGGTGGACAACCAGAATCTTATCCTAGAGAGAAAGTCAGGGAGAGTGTAAAGTACATCCCAGATTTATCTCAAAAACTGAGTGAGAAAGTTGACCTATTTATCCACCAGTTGCCTTTCTGACACTGGTTGAGGTTGGCTTCCAAAGATAGCTCTCCCATCACTTCTGAATTGCCCTTTCTATGAGCCTCATAGCCAGGAAAAAGCCCCCTCAAACATAGTCTCCAGCAGTAGCAATGAGCAGCCTTCAGCGTGTGGAGGTGAATGCTGAGTGGAAATGGGGAAGGTACCCAGAGCTATATAAATCTCCCGCAGAAACCCAGCTACAGGAGTAAAAGTCATGGAGTTTTCTAATATTGACCCTGGAACCCAGGAACATACACCGCTGAAGAGAAACAAGTGCTTCTCTTGACTTCAGATAAATTCAATGAATTCAGTTACAGCAAAGAAACAGGTGAATCCGTCGTGTGTCAGACATTAACTGTTTAAATCAAAATTACATCATTTCATTAATTTTTATTACCATGTATAAATGGTGAATTGGGACCTGAAAGAGGGCACACACTTTTATCTACATCACAAACTCAAAATTGTGTTTAGATTTGTGTTGATGCAAAATAAAGTCATCGTTGGACCTTCCAAAAGCAGTAACATTGACAACAGGAAATTTTGTTTTATTCTGGCATATTCTGGAATGGGAAGGAGGAGTATTTTTAGCTCTGCATGTGACTTATTTCTTTTGCTTGCTCCAACTTAATATTAATGGCTGCTCTTAGGTTAGCCCAAAAAAGTCCTCGTTTGCTCTTCTCCTTGGGCCATTCCAAATAAGTCCATTGCGTCATAAGAGCCTTCAGCTTGTGATACTTGCTGGGGATGATGTTCTGTGGAATGGGCTCCAGCAAGATCAGGATTAAGTTATCAGATCCTTCGCGGAAGAGATTGTGGTGGGCAAAGTAGAGTTCATAATGGCACCACTCACTCTGGACAAAGTGCGGAGACAAAACAAAGATGGACTTGTAACTCTTCTCAATGCAGTTTATGATATTTTCCACAATGCTCTTGCCAGCAACAAAGTTTCTCTCATGGAGGCAAATCCGTATGTCTTCTTTTTCTAGGCAAGGCACCAATTCGTTCTTCACCCAGGCAGAATCATGTTCACTGTAAGAAATAAAAGCATGGAACTGGAGAGTTCTTTGGAGTTCCTCTAACGGTATGTTCCTAGCCCTGTGCCGGGTCTGGGTCCACTGGCACACCATCCTGAGATACCAGGGCAGATCCAGGTAGATGCAGAGGAAGGTCACGGTAACAGCCAACACCAGCGTGATGGCCCCAATGGTGACCATCAGCAGAGCTGTGTTGCAGGATAATGCAGACATGTGAAAGTCTTTTAGAGGGGTTCC